ATCAGCTTTGGTTTTTTACTTATTGTTTTTGTTCTCTGTCATTTTGTGGCCCTGGTTATTTTCAAAATTTCAATCGAGCATAGCAGTTCATTCGCACTATGTTTTCTCTAGCTTTATTCTGGTAGTTGGGGTAGAAACTCAGTCAGCATTGTAATAACTGAATATTTTTCACTGCCATGCTCAAATGAAAGTTTCTTTTGCTTTAATGTTTGGATAGAACTGTGATATTGTGTAGCTTTGTGCTCTGATCTGAAGAATCTTTTGTGTGATGATATTTATTAGATCAGTTACAAGCGGTTATGTATTTTCCTTTTCAGGAACACTAAAACTTATCTATGAAGGCCCAGATATGGTGGAAAGGTGCCATGAGTCAGTCATCAGCGAAATGAAGCTTGCATCTACAAGAGGATGTCCCGTGGGTGGCGTGAAAGGTCCCTCAGATGTTGCCAACTTGCGGACATTGGACCTGGTTTGGGGCTTCCCAACTGATTATTTACATTGCATTTTGGAAGGGGTTGTTTGAAAATTGATGGAATTGGGGCTCAGCTCCACAGGAAAGCCATGGTATACAGGAAACAGGATTGGTGTGCTAAATGACCGCATCATAAAAATTCGTCCTCCCGGATTCTTCACCAGATTGCCGAGGTCACTTTTTGAGAAGACTTTCTGGAAAGCCACTGAATGGAAATATTGGCTTTTATATTACGGAGTGCCTTGTCTTGAAAACATTTTGCCACATAAGTACCTGCTCCACTTTTCTTTGCTTGCACACAGCACCTATTTGCTGTTGAAAGCAAGCATACAACAACGGGAAATCTCGCGTGCCAATAACTTGTTAAATCCGTTTGTGCAAGACATACCGAAATTGTATGGTGAGAACACTTTCACCTTTAATGTGCACCAGCTCGTCCACACTGCAAAATTGGTTAAAATGACAGGGCCACTTTGGGAAACTTCTACATTTCCTTTTGAAGGGCGAAATGGTGATCTCCTCAAGCTCGTTTCTGCTACCAAAGGTGTGCCTCAGCAAATAGCCGAGCGATGTATCATGCCGGAAATGTTGAAGTCACTTGAACGCATTGTGTTTCTCCCACCTGTTTTGAAAAAGAAGCAGTCAATCATTTGCGGTAAAAAATTGTGAACCGTTCTGTTTCAGCTGTTATTGGTGCACCTTTACCTTCATGCCGTCTAGAAATTGCTGTAAGTAGCTTGTTAATTTCAATGGGCCCGGTGCCAACTATTGGTCAATACTCCAGAGCACAATATAAAGTTCGCACTATAAAAAGGCAGAGAAATCTTGTTCAAAGTACTTTGAAACTTGCGATGGAAGGCTTTGCAAAATAGTGAACGTCCTCCTTTCCATAAATGGTGCCGTAGCACTGCTGTGTCAATAGCTGATGTATACCGGGAGTATTATTCCCTCTCTCTATGAAGTTGAGCATCCTTCACTTGATGTTGGGTTGTGTTTGGTACAAGCAGAAAGCATTTCTTCAGTTTGCGTCTATGTGGAGCAAAATGGAAAGTCATTCATTGCGAAGATTCCCGATTTGTATGAAAGAAATTAAGTTCCTTGTTTCAGAAACAAAGCAAGCTTTATGATTGTGTTTCAGTGAGGTGAAGTAGCGACATAGGGGAGCAGAGAGCTAAGCTAGTCGGTGGGCATTCATGTTAAAATACTGGGTGTGTAAACACGTACACAAGAGAGAAGTCAAAGAAACCACAAGTGCTATTTTTTTACAGTGACAGCTTTTATGAGATCACAAGAAAAAAACCGATTCAGGCGCCGTAACTTTCCGCCCCTGCTGGTGTCTGTGACCACTATAGCAAGAAAAAAACATAAATAAACATAAATAGAAATCACTGGAGCGGACGCTTTGAGTGGCCACCGGAGAAGAGTACACGCCGGTTGCGTCCGCTGCTGCCGCCATAGAAGGCGCGAGCATGCCAACCTTGCTGAGCAAGCTTCTAAAACTGCCCTTGACAGAGTGGGGTTTGAGCCAGGGACTCCTGCATTGTCGGCCCAGTGTTTTACCACTGAGCTACGTTCATTCTCGAAAGTTCTTTGCAAACATACCATATGCAGGCTTCATGTCGGGTAAGGAATCGTATGGACATGAGTACTAGACCGTTCTAGAGAAATAAAATCTTTACCCGGTATCAAAAAAGCGATTTGCGTAACAAGTGGTTTGTTGAAAGCCCCGAACTCGTTACAGAACGATTCACTTATTATTCGTCATCGTCGTCAGCCACCACATCATGAACATGACACCTTACAGTTGTGTAGTGTGTACATTGCTTCACCACAGAATATCAAATAATGGCATAGCGGGTGCTTTCCTAATTGACACAAAAGAAAGGCGTCATAGTGTAATAGGTGACATGCAAATGTACTCCAGGAATACAAAAATCTTCTCTTCCAGCTTGCACTGTGACTGTGCTGCGCATTTAGTGCAGGCACTAACATAAAATGTTTAAAATGTGTAGGGCACTAAAATAAAATGTGTTGATTTGTATTTCATGGTAGGTTTGCGTCCTGTAGTCTGTAATTTCTAACAAATTATGTGGTGCAATGCAATTTAGTCTGTCAGTTCAGCAGCCTGAAATCAAATTGCTGTGCTCAACTATTGCTATGAACAACTGTTTCTATTTACCTATTTTTTACTAAAGTGTTCATCGGTTGCAGAGCCTGTATATGTACTGGTTTCTTTTGCGCCAAAAACAACAGCAAAGAATCACAAATGACTTTTATCACTGTTCTTAAAATGTGTCATTTCATGGTCATTTGATTAATTACTTCAATAAGTGTTGAATGGGCCTTTTACAACTATTTATTGCTATCCCGAAAGCCATGTGATGTGAAGTGTTCACAAGTGATTTTGTCCAGGAAGGCTGACTTTATCTGTTATTTTCTACATATAGCTCTGATTAGGTATCCGATTGTGTGGTGGTTGTGTACTGATGGCGAATTGTTCGCTCATCACTGTGTCATTGCTGTCAAATTGAAGCATTTCTGCATGCCTAAAGTGCAAAGCTGCAGGAGTATGGTGCTTTAAGAAACATTCATTGTCATAAGTTTTTCGCTATTTCCATTTCTACTTTAAAGAAAAGTTCATATCTGCTTCTCTGATATTGTAGGTGCAGTGTGTTATGAGTGTCCTGCATGTCGTGTATTACTATGTACCTTAATTGTGCTTCTTTTACTTTGTGGTGAGGAGTATACCAGCTATTTTTAGGGTGCATGCAGAGCTGTTCTTCAATGCAGCTTTCATAAAAACCTGCATGTTCTGAGTAATTGTATTTTCCTGGAAAAATTAATAATTCAGAGCACCTACTTTTCTGCATTTTACATGAGTGCAGGGCATTTTCTGTTAGCTCTTCTTTATTTAGACACATGGTCATCACCGTCACTCAAAATTTGTGTCAATTTTACGTTGAAAAATATTCATCCCTTTAACACCCAATAACATCAATATTTTTCGTGCGTAGAACCTAAACTTTCACACTTGCATCAAATGAAGTGTTATAGACAAATTAGTTCAAAAGTGATAGTTGCGTGACTGTTATACACATTAACTTGGTCAAAGCGGCGCAGTGTGCACTCTAAAACAGCCTAAACTTGTATGTTCTGCACACTGAAACCGACCAAACCAGTTCTGCATACTTGAATCAACCAAACCGGTCAGTTATGCACACTAAACCGGTCCAGTCTGCACACTCAACTTACTAGACTGGTTGGTCTGCACAGTACAACCCATTAAACCGGCCTGGTCTGCACACTACGACCCACTAAACCCGTCCGGTCTGCAAACTACAACGCAATAAAGTGGTCCGGTCTGCACACTACAACCCACTAAACTGATTTGGCCTGCAGACTAAACCCACTAAACCAGTCTGGTGTGCAAACTACAACCCACTAAACCGGTCTAGTGTTAACACTAAAAACACTAAACCACACTAAACCGGGCTAATGTATTTTTCGACTGGGTCCTACCTGGCCTTGAATAACAGTTCTGACTGTCTCAGTTCTTTATTATAGCTGAACTATCTCTGTGAAGAAATGCTTCAAATTCGTGTTATATCAATTCCAAAACAAAAGGATCAGCGACGTGTTTATGCACTTTTCATTCAAATGCCTCAATGATAACTTTCTCGCAGTAACCGTTTAAAACCCCTAAGGAAACCTTGGTTTAACTCTTGATACTACAGGCAAACTTGGCTAGCTTAAATTTTGAAATATTTTGCAAAGGTTTATGCAGGTGCTGTCATAGATTTCGAAGTGTATTTTCCTTATTACTGATAGCTAATGGCAGCAAGCGCAAGGAGAACATATAAGTGAACATTAAAGAGCGCCTACAAGAGCAGCTGAATAAAATTAGTAGTTGCTTGGTCTAGGGTTCGGGCATCCTTCCGCGCAACATTCCTTGGCTGACGAAGTCCCATTGTCGTCACACTTGCAAGACTACTGGCTCGGATGGAGATGGAATCAGTTGAGTGGCTGCATAGGCAGCGTGGCTTCGTCAGCGGATATTCGAAGAATATCTATCACTTTTTTCTGCATATTTTCTTTTTGATATATATATATATATATATATATATATATATATATATATATATATATATATATATATATATATATATATATATATATATATATACATATACATATACATATATATATATATATATATACACACTCTTTGTTGCTCGCCGTCCGATATCATCCGCAGCATTTTGTATTTTGGCGTCAATTGATTGAACTAAATTTTATGAAAGTTGACGCCACATTCATAATTTTCTAGAACCCTTTGCCTACTGTCTACCCCACTGTTACCCATAAAGAACAGTGTAAGTCTGAGTAGACGTTGTGAAAACCTCCGGGATCTCGAAGTTCAGAACGCTAAATTCAAGAACATTACTTGCCACTCGAACTCCATATTTTTTCGTGTTTTCGTACTTACATAGTGTTTTCTCCTAGCTAGAGAGTAATGTAGTAGCACAAGAAAAGTCATTTTTTCTTTACTGTCTAGTTAAACAAGCTGAGATGGGGAAACCATTCAAAGCCCTTTACTTTGATGTCCCTCCTCGCCTGAATGGCTGAGACATAATACACTTCATAATCTGAAGCAACCAGAGTAGTTCACTTTCATCACTTCATTTCCAGCGTAAGCAGGTGCTGGAACTTCTCTATGTAGCCAAGGCCTTGGATTAGTGTTTCTTTCATTCACTTCTCAACGGGAACCATTCTGCCAGCTCCGACACCACCTCCTAGAGCAGCAGCTTCGTTAATCAGCACAGCTGTAAGCAAATAACAGGAAATTATTCCAATGTTGTCAATGTGCACCTCATAGTTAGACAGCGGCCACTGTAAAAGAAGGTGTTCCAAACCCACAATTGTAACTTTTGAATTCAAAGTGTAAAACTTTTTTCAAGGTGTTGATTTACCTTAAGTAATATGCTCCACAAAAAAAAATCGTTAGCAGCCACTGCTTTTTACATACTTTGCTTATGTTTGAGTGAGTAAAATATTCAGAAGCTCTTATATTACTTCACAGACACACGAATATACGAATTACTGTTTGTTCCTTATTGATGACACCAAACATTCCCGTGAACATATGGTATCACTATACTGAATCTGGTATCGCCCACCAAGCAAGTGAATAACTGCGGGAACGCAGACGCTTTCTCGACGTCATTTACTTTGTAAGGATTTTCTTCATACACTTCAGAATCTGCAGTTAAGGAGGTGCGTAGTGCCGCCGGTCGGGGAAGCAGTGGTAGCTGCTAATTCCACCTCCCTTGTACAATTTGCTGCTTAACCAGGTGCACCCAGCGAGTGTGACAGAAGGATTTACCTTAATATTTCAGGTTTTGCTCATTCAGCATACACAAGGAGAGGTTTTATTTCTCTCCGATAGTCGTAAGAGCTACACAACCACGGTGAAGTGTTTTTTTGGATATTTTACTAGAACGATATCAAAAGGAAAATCAAACGGTGCAGGTTCGCGTACTACACGAGAGCGCCGCAGTGATTCCACTGTGATGTTGCGAATTGGCATGGACGTAAATGATTGAATAACACTACTTAGTTTCACGAATAGCCATAGCTTTCATACAAAGCGAAAAGCCAAGATGGCTGCATCAGGACCCTTTAACGTGTTGGGGGAATCAATTACTCATATTTCCCGTAGCCGGTCGCATGAGAAAGTGTGACAATACGACTCTGCTGCTATTAATTAGCCTAGCCCTGGCATAGAACCATATCATACTTGATAAGAGGCTCAGACGAATATCTAACTACAGTGTGCATAGTGTAACGCAGAGTGACCAGCTAGAGGCAGAATAAAGAAGCGTTATAAACATATCACACACCACCACCTCTCAAGATGTCAAAGATAAATCTCGTACGTTTTAAAAGCCCAATGCTCCGGTTTTAACAAATAAATGCTGTCATGTGCATGATGGAAGCAAATCCCAAAGTGTTGGAAACCTTAGGTTGTAGCACGCATCATTGGACGGGTGCAAATTTCCAAGTTACTACATACAACTGCAAGGCAACCGCTAGCTGATCACTTCAAGATGCCTTTCAAAAAGTTGAACACATAGAAAACTGGAGTTAAATAAAGTGAGCTGCGTGCCACTGGTAGTAAGGTTTGTGGCTAAAATCGTGTGTGTACTTATACGCTTATAAAATTATGTCTATTGAAAATTTTACCGCATCAGGGCACCCGAAAACGGGCGCACGTGAATCGCCTCAGACTCGATTTCGTGCGAAACTTGCTTGTACTTGCGAGTTGTAGCCCGTTGAAATAACTCAACATCATTTACGTTGTACCCGCCCTTCACTTTGAGATGATTCCTACTTTTTCGAATCGCTGTCTGGCGAAAGATACTTGCCGGATCCTTAATAAAAGAACGTGAAAATTTTATAGTGACCGACGCACTAGCGTTCACGAATGGCTGTTTTTTTTCCTGCACATCCACAGTGCTGTGATGAGGCTGGTCGTGGCAGCACCACCTCAGCAGAGTATGGCGTCAAGACAGCTCATTACTATTATCTGAAACTTGCACAGATGATGTAATGCTCTAATTGCGAAATACATTTCGTGTGTGGTATTCACGATTACCTAGTGCGATGGTAACCCACACGAGGGCGCTGACTCCAGCCAGACCGTTCATTTTGAATTGGCTGCAAATACACAAGAAATAGTGACTTCAGTAAAACACCACAGCGTGCCGTATCCTACAAAATTTACGTAGAAAAATCAGTGTTCTTACTTTTCCTCTTAATGCTTAGCAATGGCAAGCAGTTTTAGTTGCTTCTGTGAGATTGCATATCGTTACACTTTGTTCGAGTGAGTCTTGCCTGGCTGCCAGCACTATTCAGATCTTTTAGAGTTGTACACCTGTATAAATACTTATACACGTGTTTGAAAATTATTTTAAATGTATATAAACAGAGTGTACTTTATCACTATGATTTGATCGGCTGTTTTATAAGGAGCCGGGGTAAGAAGGTTCTAGTTTATTTTAGGTGCAGTGCACTGTTAAGGCGGAAACTAAGATGTTCTTTTGAGTCCGTATCACACCACAAGTTTGAAACCAACACAGATAAAATGAACCCTTGCATATGTCTGCCAGAGGCTTCGTAGAATATGATCTTTCTTCACAAGTTGCGACGTTATAAGTGCCAACAAAATTTCTCTGGGTTTTAAATGTATTTCACACTTCACAGAAATGAATCAGCTAAGCATTTTTTCATTCTCATCAACGTCAAGCACTGTAGCGTGGTACGAGTGCGCAAAAAAGTTTTTGCCAAAGATGTCGCAGTTGCAGCCCTCCAAAAAAGTACATGAAACTAGTGGTGAAATTGCTTTTATTGAAAACCCCTTTTTTAGGGTGGCTTTGGAACCACCATGTAAGAGCAGTCCCAGGAGACAATCTAAGAAGAAGGTATGTATGTGCGTGAGGCTGGTAAGTGCGGTAAGTGAGGAAGCAGTTCGTGAGCAGAATAACTATAATAAACACGCTTGATGGCAAAACTTACACTCCAGTCCATTAGTATCGGCTAACTACGAATCACGATTCTTTGAGCGCTGAAGCTGTTTCACGAAATATATTGCTTTAGATACCAAATACTCGACATTTTCCTGAAAGAACTTCTGTCTGTATAATGATGTAATAAAATGTAAAAATCTGAGCACATGTGTTAATGATAAATTCATGTATATAAAGTAAGAATTATGGGTCCCGTTTCTCTCTCATATTTCAAGTATAAATTTTATGCATAGCCTTCTTTAAGTGAATGCATACTCACCAAGGTTTCTTGTTAAAGACGAAGTAGGTAGTTCTGGTACAATCCTGCTCTTGCCTGCAGTGTTTATATACTACCACCAGCCATCGTAATACGCCATCCGAGTAGGTATAAAGGAATAAAAATGATTATAATTAATATGGAAGCAGAGTGACAGGCAATTTGGTCGGTGAAAATGTTCATCTGGTCACAATAAAAAAAACGGCGCAATTTAGAGGCCTCACCAAATAATTCAAAACTTTGTTTTGGTCTGCAAACAACAGAACGGCATGATAAAATGACCTTTCTTTATGATACACCTTTAATTAAAAGCGCATTTTAATTAAAATTTAAACTTACAAGGTTTCATTAGGCTTGTGTCAAACAAATCAAACACAATATCGTAAATACTCCTTTGAAAGACGTTGTTAATTTAATATTATGAACATTGTGGATCATTGGGACATCATAATAATCCTTCTGGCACAATGCTTATGCTTACTACTGAGATTACATTGTTTACTTTATTTCCTGGAATCCTGGCAATAAAAAGAAGAAGTTGTGAGACTCATATATATATATATATATATATATATATATATATATATATATATATATATATATATATATATATATATATATATATATATATATATATATCACGAATTTTTATTTGTAAATCACGTGCTCGCACACTAAAACAATATTTTTTTACACGTGTATCAGGTGCTCTTTAAAGCCGGTGACATGCATTTCTGTTTGCCCATATATCACTTTCATGCCAGTTTTCATCAGTTTATCTCATTGATATGCAGATGAATATCAACAGCACGATTGCCATAATGCTCTGCTGTATTCTGATGAAAGCCTGATCTACTAATACTATTTCGATGGAGGCGGAAATGTTGTAGGCCCGTGTGCTCAGATTTGGGTGCACGTTAAAGAACGCCAGGTGGTCAAAATTTCCGGAGCCCTCCACTACGACGTCTCTCATAATCATATGGTGGTTTTAAGACGTTAAACCCCACACATAAATCAATCTACTATTATTACTGCATAATTATATATATATATATATATATATATATATATATATATATTATATATATATATATATATATATATATATATATATATATATATATATATATATATATATATATATATATATACGCTTACACAGGACATTAGTGTGTAAGTAGTCTAATGTATCAAGTTAATTCAAGGAATTCCAGTGCCACAACACGCAGTAGCATTTCTTGAAACATATCTGTGAGATTCGATGGCAGGTGTTATTGGGAGATAGTGGTGCCATATATGATCGAAGCAACAACTGCTATTTCGATCGTCTCTTAGCAATAAACGGGTGTCGAGAGTGCAGCCCAATATTTTCAATCATACCTTCATTCAATCCATCAATCAATTATTCCAGAAAATGTTATTTTTCCGTGAAGATACATTCGCGCTAGAATAGTTGACCAAAAAAAGCCGTGCAATTGAAACTTGACAAATCTCCAGGAACGCATAGGAGGAGACAGCATAGTGCAATTCCTCTGAAGAGTAAAAAGAAAAAAAAAACTAAAAAAGGCAACTACATAGCAAGTGTGTCCCTCTCACATGTTGGTTCGGGGGGGGGGGGCGGGGCACAAGACTTCAATGGTGTATCATCTAGGTACCACGGTAGTGTCGCGACAAGACAGGCCACAGTCGGAGTCAGCTTAACCATTAAAGTAGGGTAATGTCATATTATTCGCCGCAGTGTGAACCTTTCGAACCTGTAAATTTTGCTTAAACTATAATCTGACAGAAATAAATTATCGATATGAATAAGGTTTCCAAATTTCACTTTTTAAATAGTTACGTTGCTAAATCTGCTCAAGAACTCATAAATAGATGCGGGAAGTGGTATTAGAAGCCACTTATTAAACAGCTGCTTAATTTTTTAACATACTTGCAATACTAGTGGTCACAGATCTGCTGCGTGTACTTCGTTGTTACTGTAGCAGCACTGCATGCAACCTAAAAACAAAAATTATAAATTTTTCTTCCGTGACATTTGTTCATCACTGATCACGTAAGCTCTTGTGTCCCATAAAATTGATTTTTAGTGGTGTTTTCGTCATTGAAAAACCATTGCTACAATATTTCGTCCAAGATATGCAGAGAAATCACCCTTCTTAAACCCTGTATTTATGATGATGTTACTCCTTTTCTGCTGTCACATTGTTTGCTTAGTGTATAATTTCTTGTGTAGCTTAAGACCTGTAGTTACCTGTTTGTAAACTTTCACAAAGCTGTTGCAATGAACCAGAGCTAGCCCGGACAGGCATGCAAGTGTTACGTCACAACACTAACATTTTTTCCTAGTACGACAGTGACTAATTGTACCATCCCACTCCATAAGATGCACGTTTGAAAATATGAACAAGAAACTGTGCGAACAAATAACACCCACAGCGTCCGAATCTGTACCAAATTATAATTCGACCGTAAAGTCGATACAAGCTTGTGCAAGCAATAACAACAACTAAAGAATTCTAGGTTCTGTGCACATTCATGATCAAATATGTGCAACACACCAGTTACGTACTTCTAGTAAGTAACCTATAGCATCTGTTTTTGCTATACAAGCATGACGTATGCTTTCATTGGTATATTTCAGGAGCACAGAATACGGCAATATTATTTTTTTCCCGATACCACCTTTGGCATCATTGCATAGTCTCTAAAACATGTGCTTTGAGAAACAAAAATTAGACAACCACACGTTCGGGGCACAACGAACCAAGCAAAACTGAACGAACTTCGCAGAATTAAAAGCTTCTTAGTCGCCGAAAAATCCCTCCTTTATTGTCGCAATGCACGTATGACATACGCTTCTATTGGTACAAATCAGGAACACAGAATACAGTAAAAACAAATTTTTACAGCCAAAGCTGTTATGACATCACAACACTGGTCACGTGCGGTCCGCCGCCGCCAGTGTGCGTAACCACTATCACACAATATACAAAAAATGTCTGTAAAATAAAAAACACAAGGACACAATCGCATTCGAACCCATGTCGCCTGAGTGCCAGGGCAATTTTCTACCACAGAGTTGCACCAGTGCTTGGAATTCTCTTGCAAATTGGCCATTGGCAGGCTCGATGTCGAAAAAGGAAACTTGTTATATGAGCAATAAAACGTAGCACCTAAGCAAAGGAACAACCACGGGTCAGACAATGCAAATAGCGCAACGAGCGGGCCATCAAATGCTCCAACGTTTTACAAAAGCTTGAACTTGTTCACCTATGAACAATGGCGCATGCCCACTGTGGGAGATTGTGGGGAATACTTCTGGCATAACTATTCATCGTCGTCAGCCACAGCACACATAAATTACTCAAAGTTCCTTGCAACTGTACAGCAAGTACCAGGCTTCTCCAAAGAATGACGAAGAATGGCAAGATGAATACCTGCCTGCTGCACAATAAATAATGGAGCAGTGTATACCTTGCATGTGTGCTTGCAGAAGCAACCCAAAGAGCGTTAAAAAGGCTCCCAGAGGCACTTCTAGCTTTCCTTGAGACAGTGCGCGTTCAGCGCAAGCCTGGCGTGTTTTTTTTACAATGCAGCTTTTCAAATCAACAGGCTACTGTGTAAAATCTGCACCTCAAAGGCTCATTCACACCTAAGGCGGCACGGCAAAACGGCGAAGCGGAATTTCCGAAGCGGCGAGGCAGCCAGTGCGTGAACCTGTTCAGACAGCATGCCTCCTTCGTCTGGCTGCGCGGCAGAAGAGGCGGCATCTCGCGATTCTGCGCACGTGTCGTTATGAAGTGTCAGTGCTTCTCTCTAACACACACCCGCGCCACCACCGCGCGTCCACTGCGTGGTGCTCTGATTGGCAGCGGCAAAGTGGCAAGCCTCGGCAGGCAGGCAAAAAATTGCTGCGAGAGCAATCGGCCTTGCCGTCTGGTTTTTCTCGCGCTTTCGCTGCCTGCAGAGGAGATTTTTTCCTGCTTCCCGCATTGCCGCCTCACCGCTTTGGCCGCCCCGCCTTCGCTGTGAACGAGCCTTTAGAAATAGAAATAAACAACCACTCCTTTGCGGCACGAAGCCACAAGAAAATCAGTACGTGTTTCTAAATAACAAAAGCTTCTTAGTTGCAGAAAAACTTGTCTTGGTCCGGGAATTCAAACATCCACTATTGCCTTACTGGAGAGTTCGCTCTACGAACTGAGCTAACCAGAAAGCTTAAAATTGGCAGCGCGAAGACGAATTGATTGACAACCTCAAGAAGATGGACACAAGTTAACCTGCACCTTGAATGTTTAGCAACATTGCGCGATCCAAACAAGCACGAAGCAAAAAATTGAACAAATGAGCGCGAACAGTCGTTCGAATCTATATAGGCGAGCTTGCAGTTCTTGTGCACCTTGAATACGTTTTCTTATGATTGTTACGATCAAAAATGATTATCGGGACGTATTTTGCGTACCTATCTGGCAACACAGTGCTGAAGTTCATAGTAGTAACGGAAGAACTGCACCAACTAAAACAACTCGGCAAAGGTTGTTTACTTATCAGTGTAATAACTAGAGGAATCGGCAATAACTGCAGGTCTATCACCTACCGTCACAGCTGCAAGAGGGTTTACTGCACGATAGCGTACAATGAGCCCCTGGCCGCTGTGATAGCTCAGTGGTTAGAGCATCGAACGCGTTATTCGAATGAGCCCCTGGAGACTCCAAGATTGTCAAATGTCGGCACTTGACTTGTAGCAAGCTTTTTCGTCCTCGATGTGTGAACGACGACAGCCATGAGTAAACACGGGAAGTTGATATTTTTATTTCTTGGGCCATTGTAGCAAAAGCAATAAGAGTGCATCTGGAATATGTTATATCCTCTTCAGTTCTATATCTAACGTTACCTTGTATTTCGTAGGTTAATGTTAATGGAGTGTTCATGCAGGCTTGTTACAGGGTTAAACACATAGGGATGCCAGGGCTAGGCCTTGACACAATGAATGGACTGACAAACGCTATTGTTTCTTTCTGTGTCCTGTACTAGCGCTGTTTTCAAAATTGTTGTATTAGGGTCGAACCAGCGTATAAGGTCCTGCCCCGCCG